CAGCAGTGCGCGGGTGCGGCGGTGCACTTACCAGTGGCGGAAGAGGTGGGCCGCTACTGGTGGGGTTGGGCCGGGGCGCGTCAGCAGGGCAGGGGGCCGCCACAAGGAAGGGGCCGCGGCGAGGCGGCAGGGCAGGGCCGGGACAGGCACGTTGGCAGGGCGGCTGCAGGCTCGGCAGTGGCAGCAGGGCCGCAACGGTGGCAGCTGCTGCTGCAGCAGGGACGGCGACGGCAGCTGCTGCAGGGACGACAGCTGCTGCAGGGACGGCGACGACAGGGCGGCAGGGCCGCTACGGCGACAGCAGGGGCGACGGCAGCTGCTGCAGGGGCGGCGACGACGGGGCGGCAGGGCGGCTGCGACGAGCAGGGGGGGGGGGGCGGCGTAGAGCCGGGAAGGGCCGCGAAGGGGGGCCGCGAAGGGCCGCGAAGGGGCCGCAAAGAGCCGCGAAGGGGGCCGCGAAGGGCCGTGAGGGGGCCGCGAAGGGCCGCGAAGGGGCCACGAAGGGCCGTGAGGGGGCCGCGAAGGGCCGCGAAGGGGCCGCGAAGGGCCGCAAGAGGCGCCGCGAAGGGCCGCGAAGGGGCCGCGAAGGGGCCGTAAGGGGCGCGACGGGCCGCGAAGGGGAGGGCCGCTAAGGGCGGGCCGCTAAGGGCAGAGCGCGCGACGGGAGGGCAGGCGCACGGGGCGCAGCTAAGGCAAGCGCGAAGCGCGCTTCGGGCAGGTAAGGAAAAAAAAAAATCGTAGTGGTGGGCCCTTAAAAAAAACAGTCACACTAGGGAACCCGCTCTATACCATGTGAGAATAATGAGAGGAATGAAATGACTAGAAATGAGATGGGTACAAATAGGGAAACCTAGAAATGATGTACCCCCTATTGTCTAACCCACTACAGCCTAAACAGGCTATAACATAAGTTTGACAGTAGGCAGAGCTGTCGTACTCTCACAGTGTGGTAGAGATTTGGGTGGCTTAGTTAGGGATTAGCCATTCGTTGAATGACTGCTTCTGGACTAGGATTGTAAGAGGTAGACATAGGAGGACCGGGCCATGTGACTGCCATTTCTTTTGTGTTTTGCTGCATACTGTACTTTCTTCTTTGAAGATTAACGGTATTAGGCAGAGCCATAACAAGCATTCAGATGGGATAGGAAGGAACCGATTCTACATACAGGGAATCGCATGCGACTGCGATTGGGCAAGGAGCTACCGGAAATAGTGTCGAATAAGAGAAGACCGAGGATGATGAACGGGGAAGGAGGAGATCGGCGTGAGCCGAATCAGTCGAGGAAGGAAGTAGACGGTGAGGACCAGAACGGGCCCAGTGATGGGGTGACCGGCCCGGAGGGCGGTGTGCAAACTGGAGGAACTAGTGGAGCAGGCGCGGCGCCAGGCGAGGGAACGGAGGGAAATCCAAGGGGAACAGCCCCAACCCGATCGCGTAACGAAGGGCCGAGCAACTATCAACGGAGTGCCTCCTGGCAAGGCACAGAGGACGAGACGGCGGTGCAGAGATGGAGGTACACACGCTGCCTAAGATCGAGGTCCCGGAGCGGTTTTCGGGCGACACAAAGAGGGGACCCTCGTTGAAAAACTACATCATGCAGCTAGAAAATCTGCAGGCGCGCTGGAAGAGGATAGGCTCGAGCCGGAGGAGTTCTTTCGTGGCTTGGCGAACACGTTGGTGGGAGAGACGGAGACGTTTTACTGGATCTCCAGGAAAGAGCTCCTGCAGTGGGTGGCAGGGAGAGCGCCGGGAGAGCGGGATCTCACGGCACAATTTATGTCGATGTTACGCGAACAGTTCTCGTTGCAGGCTGCGGAGAGAGTGGTGGAATTCAGAGATTTCCGCTGCCGAGATAGCGAGTCTCTCCTCGTGTACTGTAGGAAGATGGTGGAGCTTAGCGAAGACATGAACTGCAAGGTTCAAGGCAGGCTGATATGGATGTTTCTACACGGGCTTCATTCAGATCTGCACTGGGATGTGCAGGTGCGCGTCTTCGATTTGGGACATGAAGCGACTCTGAAGGACGTGTACGAGGTCGTGAAGCGGTTGGAAACAGGAAGGCGGTTGTACGAAGTGGAGCGAACGGGTGAACGAGGGCCGGAGCGCATGCGACCCGCGTGGATGGTGGCGGCAGTGTATCCAGGGGCGGAAGGGCGGCTCAGGGTGGATAACCGCGGGTGCCACAACTGTGGCCAACCTGGTCACATGCGAAGGGATTGCAGGAACCCAGCAGCGTGCTCGCTATGCGGAGATCGCTCGCACATGCGCCAGGAGTGCCCTGAAGCCCCAACATGTGACTAGTGCGGCAAACGCGGGCTATCGAGAGGGCGAATGGTACGCCAACCAGTGAGAGCGCAGGGGAGGAGAGGAGACCGAAAATAGGCAAGCAACTATGGCGCGGCTGAGGGCGCAATTGGCGGAGCTGGAAGCGTCCAAAGAAAGGAGGCCGACGAGACGGAATTTATGCTCATGGCCCAGCCTGAACGCGATAGCGAAGAGTTGGGTCTGCGTGCTCACACGAGGAGGGAGCTGTTCAGGCATGACGAGAGGTGGGAGGGTGGACCAAGGTGAAAGGCAAGTGAAGAAGAAGACGAGGAAGGGGGGGGCTTATTGGCATCCAATGGAACGAATGGCGTGTCGTGCGACCGTGCTGACAATTGCACTGGGAGCAATTACAGTGGGAGGGTTGGTGGCGCAACAGGCGATCATAGACACAGGGGTGGCGCACGTGCTGATCGGCAAGCGGCTAGCGGAGAAACTGCAGTTGAGGCAACCAGGGCGATTGGTGGAAGAAGGATACCTGCTAATGACGGCGGAGGGGGGAGAGGCGAAGTGGATGCGGAGGACCAGGAGGTTAATGGCGCTGGTCTTGAACCCGGGCTCCGAGGGGGAGTGTTTGTTGCGAGTATGCTGCAGAGTATCTGAGTCCGAGGACTTCGACCAGCTTATAGGCGTGGCGTGGGTTCCACGATCTGCATGTGGGAGGAAAAAGTGGAGTACCGCGTGCGATTCTGGGAGAAGAGGGGTCCTATCGGGAAGCTCCCGGTCAAGTTCGTCCAAAGGGAGCCTATGGAGGCTTAACAGTGAACGGAGGCGGACTTGCGAGAGGAGCTAGGTGTGCCCAGATGGTAGCATATACCGAGGATCAAAGAACGCACGAGACTCGAAGAGGAGCCGGAAGCGGGGCTGAAGGAACGGCGCTTGAATACGAAATGGCTGCTGGGGCCCACTGTGGTGCTCAAGTTTTTCGGGGGAATTGGGACGGGGCTGGCAGCACTCCTGAAGGCTGGTGCCTCGGTGGATATGTGGATCCTGGTGGCAAAAGGATCCAGCGGCGGTTAAGATGGCGTGGTGGCATGCAGAGTTGTTGCAGCAACGCTACCCACACCAGTTCACCAAGGGGGCGATGGAAGCAAGCATCTGCTATCAAGAGAGTGACATCTGTTACGTGGATGAGACGGCAACGCAATGACGGGGAAAAATAGACAAAGTGATAGCAGGATGGGAATGCCAGGGCTACTCACGCACGGGAGAGGGGAGATGCATGAGAGATGAATGAAGCAGGTTGTTCCGTGAGCTGGTAAGGGAGCTGAAGTTGATTAAGAGAGTGCAGGAGGACGTGCTTTAAATTGTGGAATACGTGGATATGGAGTGAGAAATCAGGGAGCAAGTGCAGGTGGTTCATGAGGAAGTCATGGCCGAGCTAGGCCTGGGAGTGGCGTGTGACGCGGCGCAGTCGGGGAGCAGAAGCCATCGTGTCAGGAGATACTAGACGAACGGCGTGACAGAACCAGCATTGCGGTATCGGCTGTCACTCATGAAAGGGCCGGTGTCATTAGTGTGCAGGACATACTGGAACTACGCAGGGTGCCAGCTTTTGTGACAGAGCCGGTCCACCCGACACACCTCCCGTGTAACGAAGTGGGGCAGCCGCGGCAGGCTTGGCCGACCTGGTATCTTTTGAAGGCGCGAGCGCATTTACTGTACAAGATGGCGTGCCTGGGCTAGGCATGGCATACGATTACAGCAAGGAGGCATGGGAGGAGGTTCCCGTGTCCCTTTGCGCAGTGCTTGGAGATCTTTCTCCATGGTTGATAATCGTTGAAAGAGCTGCTCGAGTGCGGCAGTGCTGATCGTAGTTGTCGCCTCATTTGTCGCAGCTGGGTTGGCCTGTCCTTCAGCTGTTACATTTGTTTGGCCTCCGGATCTTCCGGCCTTGGAGAGTGTGCCGCTCGCCAGATCTTGGTTTGGCGGATTTCACGGAAGTAGAGTTGCGAAGGATCCATGAGTAGCTCTCATACCATGTTACAATCCTACACAGAACTTAGCGAAGGATTGTTTCAGGGTTGATCGCATGTAGAGTTGTTGCGGCGGAAGTGTTGACCTCAGGTCATAGTGAATGTAAATGACTGAGATAATAAAAGCATGCATACATCGGGTTTATGTAGGAAATACAAAGGAATACGAAACGACCTAGACTAGCCATGTACTCTAAGGGGTACATTCCCTTATTACAGCGAAGTTCAAACCGTGCGGCGCGGGATCCCGTTTAAAACCTGTTCCCGCTCTTTTCAGTTCAAGTGTTTCTGCCTGCATCGGTCTTGGTCTGACGGTTGCTGGTGTCGCTTCAACTCTTCTGACTCCTCGAATTCGTACTCGGTAGAGTCGGCTCCTGCAGCATACAGGAATGCCTTCTCATTGATTTTCATGTCGTAACAGGTCTTTCTTTATCTGTGAAATCGCATTAGCATAGCAATAGGTGATGCTGTTGTCTATAGCACGGACGCGTCAAATGCGGTGTGATAAGTCAGCTTCTGGAAATATCCACTTGATACGGTATGTACACAACATGCCCTACTATATAAGAGGGAACATCACAAATGCACAGAATGCCACACCAGCTGAATCACTACCGGTAGCATTCACGGAGCATCTGTGATGTTCCTTCTCTGATCACAACACCTTTTCCACATCCATCCTTCTCCCATTCCTCTCTTCTTCAAAACCTGGTACCAACCAGCTTTCCCGCCAAGTTGCTGCTGCTGCCCTGAAACCCAAGGTAGAGCTCCCCACTCGCGCCAGCCTGGATGGCACTGAGCACATCTGCCAAGCCCCCCGGCGCAACAGTGAGCACATTGGCCAGCGACCACGTCATGGAGGTGAGCAGCTCCCACGTGCCGGGCAGCTGCAGCGCCACGGGTGGGGCTACCTCGCTGCACGTGCTGCTGCCGCGGTAGATGGCCTGCCCCTGCGGTGCCGCTGTCATGCCCGTCGCCACCAGCTGGTACGCCACCGCGTACGACGAGCCCCTGCAGTGAGCAAGGGAGGGAAGGTGCACAGCAGGGGATGCTCATTATACGTGTGTACAGTATCTACCATCATGAGAGGGTAATATCAACTGGCAGAACCATTATGAAAGTCGGAGCAGATGGCAATGGTGTGGACAGAAATTGCGCGGGATTATGACAATGCGGAAGGAATCATGAGGTGATTAAGACAGACGATGCGTGATTGCGGCAGGAAAGGCAGTAGTTTGGAAGGAGAGTGAGGGGTCGTGGCTTACATTTTGGTGATTTGGATGTGAGCTGCTCCCGCCTGGAGAAGGCCCTTGCACGGGGTCAGCACGCCACGCAGCATGCCTGCAATGACGGGATAGGCAAGAGCGGCAGTGGAGAAGAATTGGATTGAGGAGCAAGGATGGCTCAAGAATGGTGAGCACAAGCATGCCTGCAGTGACGGGGATCGACGAAAGCAGGGGCAGAGAAGAATTGGATTGAGCAAGCAAGAACCGTCCTTGTGCACAAGCGACGCGGCAAAGCCACAGCTGCTGTCACTCAAGCCGTTGTGCATCTGTCAACGGAGAAGGTCAGCTTTCAAGAGAACACACTCTCGCTTCAGTGCATTGCTTTGTGGCTGACGGTTGGCGTGACTGACCTGCTGGCTGCGGGTTAGGTTTTGCAAGACTGACCTGCCATCTGCGGGGTTTCTTGTTTGCAAGAATGACCTGGCTGTTGCGGCAGCAGAGCCACGAGGTCCGCCACGCCAAGGGCGTCACACAGCGGGGCGATCAGCGCGTGCACCTGCGCAGCGAGCGCCGACACGTCCAGATTCAGTGCACCCACCTTCTGAGTGAGCGCCGCGACTCGCTGACTCAGCAATGCGCGGAGGTTGGGGAGGATGCTCGCCAGGTCCGTGACGAGGGAGGTAGCGCGTTTGTTTATAGCGGGGATGCTGCCTCTTAGCGACGAGATGCGCGACTGGAGTGCGACAGGGATCGCCTGGGCAGCAACGCCGGGTCGCGTGATTCTAGCGTATATGACAAGGTCGAGGCTAGCAATGCCTGCGTTTAGAGTGGCGATGCTGCTCTGGAGGGCTGAAATCTGCGCTTGAAGCGCCGATGTGGCCGCGGATGCGTTGTCGTTCAATGCGGTCGCCAGTTTGCTGAGTGATTGCGTTAGCGCTCCTTCAAGGGAAACGACTTGCTCTTGTAGCGCGGATCTCAGGTCGGATAGGCTACTACTACTGACCGTGCTGCTGCCTTGAGCTGGTCGGTTTGGAGTGCGATTCCCGAGCAGTCCGCTGGAGACGATTCTCGACTGTGCGCCGAATGGTGCGAATACGGCTGTTACAAGAAGCGCCGCCATAAGTGAGAAACTAGAGGAGAACGCGCCATGGGGATGAAATGTGGTAAAGCGAGAGTAGTCGTGAGTAGTCGGCGCTGGTACTACGAGATGCGTTTTCTATCGGCTGGCGGTGGCGATAATATGCAGTTGCGTAGTAGTGCGACCAGGGGAGTGAATTGCTTCTCTTGTTCGCGATGTGTTTTGTAAGATCTGGTTGTGTGGGTTGCTCTTGCTCCAGTTATGTACTCTCCAGGAGCCAAAAGCATGGACCAACCAAGCTGCCTGATGTTGCTGTGACGATGAGGCGGAGGCGGTGATCGACGGTTGGATTGGGGCGATCGACTGGGTGAGCGGCATCTACTGGGTGTGCGGCGCTGATCGGCTGGAATGGTGTGCCGAACGAAGCTTGGTCAGGGCAGGGCAAGCTTGGTGCTTCCTCGCAATTCCGCCTCCACAAACTCACGCGGAATTGCCTTAGCGTGACTCGGGCAACCATGGGAGAAAGTTCGGCACAGGAAATGGTGGAAGATTCCTATCTGCTTCAGGCTGGTCCTCTGCATTTGAAGCTTTCGTATACATTTGAAAGTACTGTTTGTGGAGGAACAGTAGCCACCAAGATTTCGTCCCAACGAAAAGAAGGGGGTTTGGCGAGAGGGGTTGCGAAAAAATGGAGGATTGAGGGGTGGGAACACGAGAAACTCTCCCGTCACCCATCCCTTGAGCGACACTCACAAACACAAGTATAAGCAACTACTTACTAGGAAAGGCCTTGATAGAACTAGCAGCGCAACTACTCACCCTGACCTAATCGCCCGTGGTAAGGGGACACGGGGCTATACAAAATCCTTTAGCTGCAGGGGCGGTTTGCATTCGGATGGGCCGCCGCGTAGCATTCGTCGAGCGATGCCATGCGGCACACGGCGAGCGCCTCGACGAGTTGCATTATGCTGGCTCGCCGCGATGCAATTATCATTTCGCCCTCCTTCCCCTCATTCACCCTTTCCTTACCCTCATTCCCCCCTCTGTGTCCCCTCATCTCCCCCTCCCGTTTCCCATATTTCCCCTTCTCCGTCCTCTCCTCTCCCTCTCTCCGTCCCCTCCTTTACCCCTCCTTTACCCCTCCTTCCCCTCATTTTCCCCTCTTCCTCCCCTCATTTCCTCCTCTCCTTTCCCTCATTTACCCCCTCCTTCCCCCCATTACCCTCTAGGAGGGTCCCAGGTGTCACACATGCAGCTCCCACATCACCAAAATGTTGAGGTTCCAAAACGCTCCCCCTATATTGCCTTTCCCGCAAGAGAATTTGAGGCCTCCCGAAAATGACCCAAATCTGTCTGCTAGCCCAAAAGAGACATTCGGAACAGTGTACAATGTGTCCCCAAAAGGTCCCGTCCCAAATTTGTCCCGCGAAGTCGTTAATTTTGTCCTAGAAGCATCCGCGGCTCGCAGTGTCCTAGTGCATCATCGCGGAAAAGGGATTGGCCCAAATTCGAGTTTAAGTGTGAAAGCTGCTGGAAAGTTGCAGAAACATACCAGAAAAGTATCCGAAAAGCACTGAGTGAAAAATGCAACTACACACATTTCGGATACAACCCGGCTTCCGAGCCGCGCAATTTGGATACGTGGGTTACCCGAGCCGCGAATTTTGGATACGTGGTAAACCCGAGCCGCGCATTGTCTTCAAAAAAAATGAAAACATCCTTACCGATATTCACACCTGTTCACTACCCAACCGTGGAGTCCCTCCCAGCGTGATTCCGCCTGTGTGCGATCGCTGAACACATCGTACGAATCAAGCTGGAATTTTCGAAAATTGCGAGCTTAGTAACGTGGATACACAGGTGAACGAGGCTCGCAAAGGCGTATATAACAGTCGAAACTGGCAGGGCAGGCATGCGGTTCCCATTCACACCCAATCAATCCGAGGTGTTCAGATATCATTCACCTGACGTGGCTTCCCCGGACCAAACCCTTCTCCCCCTCCCCCCACCTCTCTTCTTGTACAGTGTGTACTAGAATCTTCTCGAACCAGGTCACTGCCACACGTCCCCCTCACCTCACTTGTTACGTGTGCATGAACTTGGCAGATCTTTCCAGCCAATCGATGCAGCGCGAATGATCAGAGTCAGCACTCAGCAACCTCCCTCATCCACACACGTCCACCCCACCTACCCTCACGCCCCCTTGCATCCGGATACCCTCTCCCGTCCAGTACAAGACATATCTGTATTCCTCAATTTCCACTTTCCTGTAGCCTCACGCGCTAAGCAGCATCTAAGTCCCGTTTGTTGGTGTATGTTAACTTCGGGTTGTAGTCATGCACATCTCCGTTCTACTTTCAAAGTTCATGGAATTTTTCTACGTGCTAAACTGACTCTGCATGTACCCCTCTCCGCTTCCGCCATCCCCTCCCCAATTTCCCTGCCTACAGCTCTGTGGCTAGTTCTCCTCGTAGCAAAGGACATTATGCCATCGATACGCGGCGGCCGCGCCATGTTCCGCGTGAAAAGCGCCGGTGGGTGTGCTTCACAACATTTCCGTATCTCGCGAGCAATCTTTCAGTTTCCCGTGCGTGTACCTTAAGTTTATTTTTTTCACTCGTACATCCATTCTCACGGGTTATGATTATCCGCGCATCGACTTTTTCCTTTCCGTCCCGAAATGTGTGCAGATCTATCGCTTTGGCTCGTAACTTGTTTGTTTTTACCGCCCCTGCCAGTCCTCCCATTCCCTTTCTAGTGTAAATCGTTGCCGTTTGATGGTTTCTTTCCAGTCTCCCAACACACAGCTCGTCGGCATGCCGAGGACCTTTGGCCCGCGAATCGTGGCGGACGTGCCGTCTGCAGCGCCAAAAGCGCCGGACGCCGTAGTAGCTTCTCGAAGGTTCTGCCTCATCTTGAGCGTTTCACCATTTGCGTTGCCTCATCCCACGCTGGCTGTAATCCAGCTTCTAACGATAACGTTTTTCTGTCCGTTGTTCTGGTAGTCGTGGTGTTTGTGTGGTATCAAGACTGTTCCAGGGTTGATGGAAGTCACGAGATGTTTACTACTATTGTGCAGGGGTTTTATCAAGACCCGGTAGCTACCAAATACATTCACGGAGATGTTATCAGTTCAAGTCGAGGCCCGCGGGTGGTAAGTCAGTGAGGTACGGAAGAAGCATACTACTAACCAAGGTCTAACAATGTGTCGTATTCCTGTTTGCAGGCTTTCAAACAAAGCGTAATTTCACCCTGTGCTCGTCAGCCCGAACGACTTGAAGTTATGTAGACTTAGTTGGTTAAGATGTGTTGGTATTCTCGTCTAGATTAGGACTGTGTATACTCTGACGTATGTATGCAAATGTGCATGATAATATAGATAGTGTACCTTCAAAACATGTAACTAATAACCCATAAAACGCATGCTTCGCTTTCAGGCAAAACGACGCCCTGTAGTATTCAATTTTCGCACGAACCTACAGCTTGTTTGATTGGTCCACATGGCAAGCTGCCGTTCACATATCGAGAATGACACCTGGCAGAAATATCTTTGCTTTCGTGGCAAAATATCTTCGCGAACGTACCAGCGTACGTACACTTCGAAGTCGAAACTGTACGCATGCCACGTGGCAGGTGGTGAAACTGCATACATGTGACTGAAATGTATACGCAATGTGTCCAAAGAGTGTCCGAAAAGTTGCGGTTGTGTTGCGGGAAAGTTGCAGAAATGCAACTTTTCTGCAACTTTCCAGTGACTTGGTTTTCTGCAACCTTCGTCCATCACTGCCAAGCTGCAAAACCAAAGTATCCAAAAAGTAACTTTCTTGCAAGTTTCCCGCAGCCTACAGGCAAGTCCTTTTTCGCGATGATGCGAAAGTCCGTAGTCCGAAAGGTCGCCTGTTCGAGTCTTGGCGACGTTGCATTGTAAATGAGAAAAAAAAAAATCTGTTTATGACTAAATTCTTACTTTTAATTAATGGATTTGATGAATTTAGATTAAATGTGAATGGGTAATTTCTATTTCAACAACGACAGAGAGTATTGTAGTATAAATTTTTTTAATTCTATCCGAATCAAATGCAATGATTTATAGTATATTTAAGGGTTCCTAACGTCAATTGCATATTTCTGAGTCTGTTTATTGATTGCTCATTACGAAACACAGGTAACTGCTACGAAATTCTCGGCAATTTCGTAAGTCAAACGCCCCAATCCCCCCTCCCCCGCTCCCCCCCCCCAAACAATCGATCGAAGTGAAGGCGAAAATTTTGTGCCCCACAGATGACCGCCAACTCAGCGTCATCTGAAAGGCACCCCAATTTCGCGCCACCTGTCATGCACACCTGCCAGCTGCCCAGAAAAACGCACACGTCCTCACAATCTTGTTGCTAGACATAAAATGTGCACACCACACAACCACTAGTCAACCCAACCACCTGTCATAAACTCTTTCGGTAGTACCCTCTCTCATTCTTACACATGTTCGATTTTTGTGTCTGGGTTCTGGTCGCTCGCTTCATACTTCAAACGTTTTAGGTTCCTACTAATAGCAAAGTATCTGCCACTAACTACTTCATAACCAGTTACTAATTTATACTTTCCCGCTTCCCGCTCCTCCGTTCCCCCCATCGCCCCGCGCAGGTGCTGCCGTTTCTCCCTTCACCCCACTTCACGAGTTCAGCTTCGCGGAGCTGCATGCCGCGACTGAGGGCGACTGCGGGTGTGGGGGGGGGGGGGGGGGGGGGGGTGTTGCAAAGGCGTACCGTGGGCGGTTGATGCTGCCTGTAGGCGAACGCGGCGCCACTGGCTACGGAAGCAGCGCGGCTGTCGCTGGTTTCATCGCAGGCGACGGCGAGGCGAGGGATTGGATGTGACGGTCAGATTTAAGCAAGGATGGCATTCACGGTATGTCATTTTTTAGTCCTATTTTTTACTTCCCTTGTGCTTTTCATGCTGCCAAATCAGGCGGATGGGAAAGCTTACATTGGTACGTAACCTAACGATGAAACCTCTAATGCTTTAGTTTCTGTTGATGTGTGCAGATGCAGCTAAGCGCTTAAAATGTATGACAATTATTTTTATATTGCAGGATTGAAATGCGGTACCCAGCTCCACTGTGTGTACTAACGAGATAGCATTATTTGTGACTTTTACGGTAGCATTAGTTGTCACTTTCTGCGTTCCAATGGCTAATTGTTTGAATTGTTAATTGCAGGAATTGGTGTGCATTAATGAATGTGCCACCTTGTAGAGTTTGTTGATCAAGCTGCAGTTATTTACTGATAACGTACTGATTATGGGCTGCAAAACTGATATGAACTTATGCAGGGGTTTGTTTGTTTGCAGGGATGTGACAATAATGTGGTCCTGGTTCTGTTTATTCATTCGGTTTTCCTTTGCGTGGTAGATATTGAAGTGTAATGGTGTACTGTTGTATGAAGTTATTTTTATTATTGGCATGAATAAACCGAACCGCATAGCAAGCACCCGAAATTTCGAGTCGCGAATTCCCAAAGCGCGCCCATGGGACCTTGTCCCGAATGTGTCCTGAATGTGTTTCTGAACCGTCCCGAAAATGTCCCCATTGGTCCCCGGAAAGACTTTAGGGCAGATGCGAAAGAGTCCTGGGGGGACAATGTCAGGACTCTTTGAACCGTCACCCCAGAATTCCCGAAAGACCCTTACGGGACAGGGGTGCAAAATGTCCCGAAAGTCTCTTGCGGGATACTTTCGGGAAGCTTTTGGGACCTGGGATTTTGGCGATGCACAACTCACTGAGTTCAAGCCTCTCACATGTTACCCTGTCACACGGGCTTGATATCTTCCCTACATGCCTCTCTCCCTCTCCTCTCTCCACACATTGTTCTGCCCTGTCATGCCCTTCCCTTGCTTTCCTTACCCTGCCCTGCCCCACCCTGCCGGCAGGTGAGTGCGCTCATGCTGCTGGCGTGCGTGAGGGAGCTGCAGCACCCTCCCATGCGGCCTTTTGCTTCCCTTCCTCCCCCCTTTGCTTACCCTTCCTTACTTCCCCCCGTGCTACCCTTGCTCCCCCTTTGCTTCCCCTCCCTTCCCCTCCAACTTACCCTCTGTTTCTTCTGTAGCTTGCCATTGTCTGTTTTTTTTATCTTCTTTTATTTTCTTCTTTTTTCGACAGCACAACACGACGGACATCAGGCCTTCTCATTCTGAGTGCAGCTCTTTGCAGCTTAGTGAAACCAAATAAATAGGCAGGAAGTTCCAGCCTGTGTATGCCGTTAGCGTATCAATCAAGTGATTTGATAGCACGCCATACCACATCAGTTTATTCAAAATGTTGATCATGGCTGTACCTAGAAACAACTTCCCTTCCTTCTTTGCGTACAGCATCATTGCACGATGCATATGGGCACAGCACAGTATTGTATGTGACATGCGACATTTGATTATTCCAGCTACAGCTCTAGACTTCATCTCGAAATCGTGCATCTGCTCTTGCATCCTCTGCATGTCTCTTTACACCGCTAAGCTTGCCTGGGCCTGGCTTAGTCGAGCTTGTAGACGGAACAAATGAGGCGGTAGGAAAGGCTGGTAGAGAAGGGCGATAGGAAGGGATGGAGGGGAGATAGGAAGGCAAGGTTTGGAGATGGGGAGGTAGGGAGGGGAGATGAAAAATATGGGAGGCATTATATTGGGTGAAGGGATGGAGATGAAAAATATGGGAGGCATGATATTGGGTGAAGGGATGGAGATGAAAGGCAAGGAGAGGAGATGTGTAGGCTAGGCAGCAATAGGGGATTGACAGTAAGGAATGGGAGGTACAGGAAGGACAGGAAGACACGAGCAAAGAGGGAAGGCTAGTTAGACTGTAAAGGGAGAGGGAATTGCAGGAATAAATTTCGAATGGGGTGGCATGGAGAGGGCTGGAAAGAGACAGGGTGGCATGGAGAGGGCTGGAAAGAGACAGGGTGGCATGGAGAGGGCTGGAAAGAGACAGGGTGGCATGGAGAGGGCTGGAAAGAGACAGGGTGGCATGGAGAGGGCTGGAAAGAGACAGGGTGGCATGGAGAGGGCTGGAAAGAGACAGGGTGGCATGGAGAGGGCTGGAAAGAGACAGGGTGGCATGGAGAGGGCTGGAAAGAGACAGGGTGGCATGGAGAGGGCTGGAAAGAGACAGGGTGGCCTGGAGAGGGCTGGAAAGAGACAGGGTGGCCTGGAGAGGGAAGGGAGAGACAGGGTGGCCTGGAGAGGGAAGGGAGAGACAGGGTGGCATGGAGAGGGAAGGGAGAGACAGGGTGGCATGGAGAGGGCTGGAAAGAGACAGGGTGGCATGGAGAGGGCTGGAAAGAGACAGGGTGGCCTGGAGAGGGCTGGAAAGAGACAGGGTGGCCTGGAGAGGGAAGGGAGAGACAGGGTGGCCTGGAGAGGGAAGGGAGAGACAGGGTGGCCTGGAGAGGGAAGGGAGAGACAGGGTGGCCTGGAGAGGGAAGGGAGAGACAGGGTGGCCTGGAGAGGGAAGGGAGAGACAGGGTGGCCTGGAGAGGGAAGGGAGAGACAGGGTGGCCTGGAGAGGGAAGGGAGAGACAGGGTGGCCTGGAGAGGGAAGGGAGAGACAGGGTGGCCTGGAGAGGGAAGGGAGAGACAGGGTGGCCTGGAGAGGGAAGGGAGAGACAGGGTGGCTTGGAGAGGGAAGGGAGAGACAGGGTGGCCTGGAGAGGGAAGGGAGAGACAGGGTGGCCTGGAAAGGGAAGGGAGAGACAGGGTGGCCTGGAGAGGGAAGGGAGAGACAGGGTGGCCTGGAGAGGGAAGGGAGAGGCAGGGTGGCCTGGAGAGGGAAGGGAGAGACAGGGTGGCACGACATGGGGATGCGATGGGAGGGGCTGGAAAGGGATGGAAGGGGCTGGAATAAAATGGGAGGGCTGGAAGGAAATGGGGAAATGGGGAGGCGGGAAGGGGAAATGGGGAGGCGGGAAGGGGAAATGGGGAGGCGGGAAGGGGTAAAGGGGAGGCGGGAAGGGGAAATGGGGTGGCGGGAAGGGGTAAAGGGGAGGCGAGAAGGGGGAATGGGGAGGTGGGAAGGGGAAATGGGGAGGCGGGAAGGGGTAAAGGGGAGCGGGAAGGGGAAATTGGGGAGGCGGGAAGGGGAAACGGGGAGGCGGGAAGGGGTAATGGGGAGCGGGAAGGGGTAATGGGGAGCGGGAAGGGGAAATTGGGGAGGCGGGAATGGGAAACGGGGAGGCAGGAAGGGGTAATGGGGAGCGGGAAGGGAAAACGGGGAGGCGGAAACGCGAATTGGGGAGGCGACAAGGGGAAACGGGGAGGCGGGAAGGGGTAATGGGGAGCGGGAAGGGGAAACGGAGAGGCGGGAACGGGAATTGGGGAGGCGAGAAGGGGAAATGGGGAGGCGGGAAGGGGAAATGGGGAGGCAGGAAGGGGAAATGGGGAGGCGGGAAGGGGTAAAGGGGAGCGGGAAGGGGAAATGGGGTGGCGGGAAGGGGTAAAGGGGAGGCAAGAAGGGGGAATGGGGAGGCGGGAAGGGGGAATGGGGAGGCGGGAAGGGGAAATGGGGAGGCGGGAAGGGGAAATGGGGAGCGGGAAGGGGAAACGGAGAGGCGGGAACGGGAATTGGGGAGGCGAGAAGGGGAAATGGGGAGGCGGGAAGGGGAAATGGGGAGGCGGGAAGGGGAAATGGGGAGGCGGGAAGGGGAAATTGGGGAGGCGGGAAGGGGAAACGGGGAGGCGGGAAGGGGTAATGGGGAGCGGGAAGGGGTAATGGGGAGCGGGAAGGGGAAATTGGGGAGGCGGGAATGGGAAACGGGGAGGCAGGAAGGGGTAATGGGGAGCGGGAAGGGAAAACGGGGAGGCGGAAACGCGAATTGGGGAGGCGAGAAGGGGAAACGGGGAGGCGGGAAGGGGTAATGGGGAGCGGGAAGGGGAAATGGGGAGGCGGGAAGGGGAAATGGGGAGGCGGGAAGGGGAGATCGAAAGGGAAGAGAGGGAGAAGGGAAGGGATTTGAAAAGTGGAGATGGGGCTGGTGAAAAGGAACTTGGCAGTGGAAATGGGGAGGTGGGAAAGGGAGACGGCGAGGTGGGAAGCGGAGATGGGGAGGAGATAATGCGAGATGGGGAGGTGGGATTGTGAGATGGCGAGGCGGCAAAAGGGAAGGGGATAAGCAGGCGCAAAGGGGAGTTTCGGCGCCGCCTATCGCTAGGCGACGTGACAACGCGAGGGAAAGGAGGCGCGGCTTCTCCGAAGGCGACGAAAGGCTCAAAGGGAAGGGAGGCGCAGCCTCTCGTCGCCTACGACGCAAAGCAGCTTCGTCGCGGCCCATTGTATCGCTAGGGATCGCATTCCATGCGATGTGAGGCCGGTTCACTGTGAAGCCGTGATGATGGTGGTAGGGGAAGGGTCTTGTTTGAAAGCTAGCGCCGCAGCTAGCGCTGTTTCGAGGTCACACGCGTGTGATGCGGGACAGCGAGTGTAAGGGAGGAACGGGAGGTGGTGCAGACCGTACAGAACCTACTTGTAGTTTTGAATACGTTTGTGTCGGAAACGAGTTATTTGCCCTGGCTGTTGAGTGACGAAGTGTTTATCTACCGCTTATGCCGCATGTCGTGCGCAGTGGTTGCCTTTCCAGACACGCGAGAATCTATACTTTTGTTTTTCCAAAAGTTTTGAATCACCAGCGAGTCTCGCTGGTGCGGGGTGTTGTGGTGGATCAACTCCCTTGTGGGACGAGGGGAGCAAGCTGTAATAGGGTAACCAATTTTCAAATTTCAAAACTTATGAACCCACCCTTTGCAAATGTATACGAAATCTTTAAAGCTCAAGGCCCAAATTGCAGACCGCGTGGGGCAAGTTTACTAAAGTTGATCGGAGTGCTTTCTGAGTGTTGTTTTGGTTGCGAATTGTGGTTACGAGAAGTGCGATGCAATTTGATTGGCCATCAATTTTTGGTCGAATCGGAAAGCAGGACACACCAAGAATATTGTGAGTGCAATTTGGGACTCGAGAACCAACTCCGAGTTCCTTCCTGGGGTTTGCTGAGTCAGCGAAAATTCAGACTGTGTAGCGAGAAGCTGCGCGAAACTAAACAGACCAACTTCAAACAAGTCAACCTCCCTATCCCGCTACCCAAAGGGCAACCTTACTAAGGCTGAACAATTTGGGCCTTGAGCTTTAAGAAAACCCCTTCCCTCATAAATTTCAGGTCCCAATCTGGATGTGAAGGCTAGTTGCAAACCCTAGCGCACCGCCACCCTAGCGAAACCGAATTCCTGGATATTTTGAAATCTGATTTTCAAACTGAAACCGACGTTGAAACTGGCTTCGTGGAATCCCGCCGAATACTTCCTCGCAAGGTTGGGATCTTTTCTGGTTGTGGAGATCATTCTCTCTTCTGTTTCTTGAAACCCTAGTTTTTCGACAATCTCTCTGCTAGCTCCTCCCACCGTCGTAAGTCATTTTCAAGCCTATTTCTCTCCGACGTAATCGCGCATAGTATCATTTCCTTTGTTTTGTTTTCTTCTTCTTTTTGTTCGCGTTCTAGAGCCAGTGCAGCGGCGAACCACTTCTAACAATCCGCGATGGCGATTTCAGACGCTGACGGCACGCCGTCCAGCGGAACGGCGGGGCAGGATGCCTCGCTGGCTGCTGTCACGGAATCAAACGGCCGGCTGGCAAAATCAGGTCCTGCGAAAGGCCAGCGAAAGCCACCACACCGTCGCGAAAGGTACTTCGGTGACGGTAGTAAGGTCGAGGAAGCGAAGAAAGAGTCGAAAGGGAAGGCCGGAACTGCCGCGCAAGGTTCCGGGCTTACAGCGGCGGAGGGTTTAGGGGACGCAGCGGAGGGTTTCGGGGACGCGGCGCAGGGTTTAGGGTTGGCGGGGAGAGAGGCTGGAGGTGGGGAGGCGGAAACGGATTGGAGCGCATGGGGGAAGGAAACCGCGGATGACGGGAGGAGGGGGAAGGGCGAGGAGCGGAGGGAGGAAGGGGAGGTTGATGATGATGACGAGGGGGAGGATGGCGTGGACGCGGAGACGCGCGGCAGGATGAGCAAGTACAGCCGCGGCAAGGCGCTAAAAACCGAGGTGAGGCGGTTAAGAGCGATGCGAGGCGTACGTGCTGCAGCAGGTGAGCGCGGAGCGAGGATCGCGGTGCACGCAGTGGTGCGCGCTGTGAACAGGCGTGGACAGGGGCAGGCGATGCTGACTGTTGCGGGATGAGGGGGTGAGGGGCGTAGAGAGTTGGTCGTAGGTGTGGTGAGGGGCGCTAACGGCCTCATTTTGACGATGTGTGAGCGGTGCAGAGCGGTGACGTCGTGAGGGGTGTTGCGCGGCGGGCCTCCTCTTTCTGCTGTTTCTGCGACAAGAAATGGCATCTGCCCCTCTCTTATCCGACCTCTGCCCCTCAACCCACCTTCAACCCCTCTTAATCCCCCTATCAACTCCAACCCCTCTCCCCCCACTTCCATTCATCATCCCGCCCTTCATCTCCCCCTTCATCCCCCCTATTTATTCCCCCCTTGGTCCCACCCTTCCTTCAACCCCTCCATATATCCCTTTCGCACCCCCCTCCCTTCGCCCCTCTTTTTTTTCCTTCCCCCTCGTCTCCCTGCTCATCCGCTAGCTCCGCCTCGCCTTTGCATCTTCTCTGCTGACCCCCTTTCTCCCTGTCCTCCCTCCTGCTTCTCGCCCCCCCCCCCCCCCCCCCCCCCCCCCCCCCCCCTTTTTCGACCACTTAGAAATTTCCGGGCAGATTGAAAGCAAAGATGGAGCATCGGGAGAAGGTGATTGGCCAAGGAGTCTTGACGGCTGCCCAGGCAGAGAAGGTACGCGAGCAGCCTACCTTCCTTGGCTCTCTCCCTCACTCCTTCCCATCGCCCCGCGCTCCTCCCTCCTTGCCTGCACCTCACTCACTCTCCGCCACGCTCGCCCTCCTAAAATATTATTCCGGCCCTCCTTTCCCCATCCAATCCTGCTAACCTGCCCTCGTATCTTTGCCCACTCCCCATGCCCGAAACCCCTGCCCCCCCTACCTCTCGTCCTCCACTGCGTGGTAGAATGACGTGCAGAGCGCCTCTCTCTTGCGCCCGCCTCCTTTTCCCCAACCCCAGTCCCTTGCTCTCCACGCCCTCTTCCCTCTCCCAGTGGCTGACGCTGGCCGACACGCGATCCACCTTCCTTGCACTTCCCCTTCCCTCCCCCCCCCTCCTTTCCCCCCTCCCGCCCCCCACCCCACCCACCCACCCCCTTCAGTGGCTGCTGCCGTCAGAGGCGGGGTATGTGGAGGTAGAGTGCGTGGAGCGCACGAGCAACCTGTCCGAAAAATTACCTGCAAACTCACACCCACCTGCAATCTTTCTTGTCCTCCCTCCCCACCCACCACCCCCTCTTCCCCTCCCCCCTTTTCCCCCAATCCCACCTCGTCTTCCCTCCCCCAGTGGCTGCTGCCGTCAGAAGCAGGGTACGTGGAGGCGGAGGGAGTGGAGCGCACGAGCAACCTGTCTCAAGCCGACATCGTGCAGCACGTGGGCGCTGGTAGCAGACGAGCTGCCTTCGACCTCAAGCTGCCAGGTGGGGGCGGCGGGATGGTGGTGGTGTGGGATGGGGGCAGCGGGCCAGGCAGGAGAGCCGGTTTGATGTTGATGTTGATGTTGATGTTGATGTTGATGTTGATGTTGTGTGAGCACGTGGATGGTGTGGCTGGTGGTGGGAGGGTTCAGTGCATCGCGGGCTTGACGATTCTACTCATGCCTACTCTCGTCTGCACATGCAATGCAAGGGGAGGTGGTGCATGCGTATTTCATGTGTCCTCCCAACCTTCCTCCTCCTCCTCGTCGTCCTCCTCCTCCTCCTCCACCTCCTGCTTCGCGAGCCCTTGCCTCCCACTCCCACTCCCTTCTCCCTTCCCCTCCTCTCCCCGTCCCGCCCCATCGGAGCTACTTTTTTACAAGCCAGCCCCTTCCGGTTCCTACCCCAGCCAGCCTTTCCCGCTCTCACTCCGTTCTGCCTTCTCCTTCCCCTCCCCCATCAGAGCTGGGCCCGTACAAGGCGGCCTACTCGCTCAACGGGCGCAGCCTGCTGCTGGGGGGGCGCAAGGGGCACCTAGCTGTGGTGGACTGGCGCCGCTGCCACGTCACCTCCGAGATCCAGGTGAGGGGCGTGTAAGGAGACGTGTGAGGGCTGTGTGAGGCGCATGTGGGGAGCGTGTGATGGGCGTGTGTGGTGGCCGTGCCATGTGAGGGGCGTGTGAGGGACGTGTGAGGGACGTGTGAGGGACGTGTGAGGGACGTGTGAGGGGTGTGCCAAGGAGGTGTGAGGGGCGTCTGAGGGACAATTGGGGCGAAAGGGGTGTTTGAAGGGAATACGGGGGTCGGGTGAGGGACGAGTGAGGTGCACGTGGTGGGCATGTGGGCGGAGGAGTGTGAGGTGAGGCGAGTGAATTCGTGCTGAGGAGGATGATGGTGGCGGATAGTCATGGCTTCTTCCCCCTCTTCTCTGTCCTTGTATGTTCCCTTCTCTCTTTGCTTGTGTTCTCTGTTCGCATCTGGTCGTCGTGTGTATGGATGTATATATTCAAAAACATGTGTATTTGTGCCTATGTCCGTATATGCTGGGCTGGGAGATGCCTGTTTGTGCATGTGTGCGCACGCATGTCTATGGGTGGATGTGGTTGCGTTTGTCTGTGTGCATGTGAGTATGTGTGTTTGTATGCGTGCATGTGTTGACGTCTGTGTGCATGTGTGTATGCATGAATGTGTGTGCACGCGCGTTGCATCGCTTGCCACCAGGTACGAGAGACGGTGCACGATGTGTGCTTCCTCCACAACGAGCAATTCTTTGCCGCCGCGCAGAAGAGGTGAGTCAATGCCGTCTGCACGCTGTCGATTGGATTCGCAAGAGGTGGGCTCTTTCTTTCATTCTCGCGCTTGTATGGTTTGCCACCGCGAAAAGGAGGCTCCTTGCTTGTCTTGCCAGTGACCAAATTACCCCCACCACACCATACTCATGCTGCTGTACCCATGATGCCCCTCCCCATCGCCCCTCACCCTTCGTCCCTCTCCCCTCACCCCAGGTACACATTCATTTATGACAAGAGGGGCATCGAGCTGCACTGCCTCAAGGTCCGTTGTCCTGTTCATGCTCCATGCTTCATAATCCGCGCAACTTCTTTGCTTCGCCCACTTCTCTTTTGCTCCTCTTACACTTCCTCTTACCACAACCCACCCCTTGAACGTCGGCTCGCAGGCCCCATCTTCCCTCCTCTTCCCTCCTCTTCCCTCCTCTTCCCTCCTCTTCCCTCCTCTTCGTTCCTCTTCGTTCCTCTTCCTTCCTCTTCCCTCCTCTTCCCTCCCTCCTCTCCCTCCTCTTCCCTCCTCTTCCCTCCGCTTCCCTCCTCCTCGTTCCTCTTCCTTCCTCTTCCTTCCTCTTCCTTCCTCTTCCCTCCTCTCCCTCCTCTTCCCTCCTCTTCCATCCTCTTCCCTCCTCTTCCCTCCTCTTCCCTCCTCTTCCCTCCTCTTCCTTCCTCTTCCCTCCTCTTCCCTCCTCTTCCCTCCTCTTCCCTCCTCTTCGCTCCTCTTCGCTCCTCTTGCCTCCTCTCCCTCCTCTTCCCTCCTCTTCCCTCCTCTTCCCTCCTCTTCCCTCCCTTTCTTCCCTCTTCTCCCCTCTCCTACCCCTTGGCACCCACCTCCCATCTTTTTGTTCCCCTCACCCTTCCTCTCCTCCTGTAACCCTTCGTCTCTGGCCCTCACCCCCCACCTGCCCTCCCTCAGAACATCACGGGCAGCGGCGCATTGCGCCTGCAGTACCTGCCGCACCACATGCTGCTGGCGTCCATCTCCAAGGGCGGCGTGCTGGACTATGTGGACACCACCACGGGCCGCCACGTGGCGCAGTGCAAGACGCGCAAGGGGCGCTGCGACGCCATCACAGCCGACAGCCGCACGGGCGTGATCTCCCTGGGCCACAGCAACGGCACCGTCTCCCTCTGGAGCCCCTCCATGGGGACTCCCCTCGCCACACTGCTAGCCCACCACGCGCCGCTCACAGCCATCGCTAGTGATGCGTCGTCCGGGAGGTACCTGGTGACGGCGGGCATGGAGGGGCGCGTGCGCGTGTGGGACGTGCGCACGCTGCGCGAGCTGCACTCGTACGTCTCGCCCACTCCAGCGAGGACGGTCGCGCTGAGTCAGCGCGACATGCTGGCGGTGGGGTTCGGGTCGGCGGTGGAGGTGTGGAAGGAGGCGCTGACAGCCAAGCAGCACACGCCGTACCTGAAGCTCAGGATTCAGTCGAGTGGGGCAAACAGGAACACAAGGAGTGGTGGGGGAGGCGGGGCGGCAGCGACTTTCGCCGGAACCACCGCAGCAGCAGCGGTGGAGAGACTTTCCTTCTGCCCGTACGAGGACGTTTTGGGCGCCGGGCACGCGGAGGGGTTTTCGTCGCTGCTGGTGCCCGGGGCAGGCGAGGCAAACTTTGACTCGTTTGTGGCGAACCCGTTTGAGACGGGGAAGCAGCGGCGCGAGGCAGAGATCCACATGCTGCTGGACAAGCTGCCGCCCGAATCCATCATGCGCGACCCCGACCGCATCGGCACTCTCCTCCGCCCCCACGACCGCCAACGCTCCCTCACCAACGCTCTTGTCTCCAAGGCTAACGCTGCGGCTCGGGCAAAGAGCCTCGGGAAGAGCCCCGGGGAAAAGAAAGGAGGGGGAAAGGAGGGTGGGGATGGTGCTGGTGGTGGGGGAGGGGGAGGGGGAGGGGAGGAGGGGGATGAGGAGGATGAGGAGGAGGGTGAGGAGGGGAAGGATGGGGCGAAGCGGCCTCGGGAGAAGAACAAGACCAAGGGGCGGAACAAGCCGTCGAAGCGAGCCAAGAAGAGGAAGATGAACATCATTGAGACCAAGAGGGAGGCCACTCGGAGAGACGTGCGTGCCAAGGAGGGCGGAGGAGGGGGAGGGCCGAGTGGAGGAGGGGAGGAAGGGAAGTCTGCAGTGCCGCTTGCTCTGGCTCGATTCCAACGGAAAGGAGCAACGTAGGGGGGCAGCATTTAAGGGGGTGGCATGAAGAGTGCTGCTGCACAAAAGCGGAGTCAGAGCCTGCTGCTGCCTATTCTGTATTATTTTTTGTTTGTTTGTTTCAAAAACTGTTTAGCATTACCTGAAGCCATAATGGAAAACCTTATGCTCAGCTTTGTAATAGCCTTGTGAATGGATGTGAACTACCGGTAACAACCTAAAACATACAGCACTCGAAACAAGGTCCTTCTCATAGCAAGTACCGTAACAGGATGTGACAAAACCTGTCTCGTAGAACCACACCACCCTAGCAGCATCTGAACATGTATTGGACCATAGCATTTTCTTTCAGGACACGTACAGCCCATACATGTCTCTAACACCCGCATCTTTAAGACACCCTCTCTCACTGGTCAGTTTGTCACATCCTGAAACATTCAGGTTATGCAGCATCTGGAGCTGGGTGAAATCGTGAGGGAGAGACTCCAGGTGCTTGCACGAATCCAGGTCAAGATCTTTGAGGCGGCTCATATGGGCCAAGTGGCAGGGCAGGGAGCGGATCGGGGTGTATCCCAAGTTCAGCTTGTGGAGGCAGCAGAGGCGGGTGACAGAGGCAGGGAGGCGTGTGAGCGATGAGCAGTGGGCCAGGTTCAGCTGGCGCAGTTGGGACAAGGCGCCAATGCCGTGTGGCAGGGAAGCAAGCTTGGGTGCGTGCACTTCCAAGGAGGTCAGGCAGTGCAGCTGGGTGAAACTGTCTGGCAACTCTCTCAGTTCTGGAGCCTGCTCTATGCGCAGCTGCCTCAGCTGCTGCACAGTCGATCCCAACTCATCGGGAAGTGTCTTCAAGCATGCAGCACTTTGAATGGTGAGGGTGCGCAGGTTAGGGCATAACGCCAGGGAGAGCGGCAACTCCTCTGCTTCGCCTGCCAGCGCCAGCTCCAGGTGTTCAACAGAGGTCAAACTCACGGTAGCCACCAACCCACGCACCAGGGCAACACCAGTCAAGCTCATAGACCTCAGCCTTGGCAGTGCAGGAAGCTCTATGAGAGGGGTGAGCCGCTGGACGCTCCCCAAGCTGAGAATTTCAAGCGAACGTGGCAGGGATTTGGAGACCTCTGCCAGCTGCGCGCACTTGCCAATGGCCAACTCTCTCAGCCTTCCGAGGGAGCTCAAACTGCTGGGGATGGAAGAGAGGCTGCTGCAGCTGTCAACTCGCAGAACCTCAAGGCTGCCAAGGTCGGTAACAGTCTCTGGAAGCTTCTGAATCTTAGGGCATGACCGAATGCTTAGCTCACGTAAGTTTCTCAGCCTACCCACGCCCTCAGGAAGTTCCTCAACGCCGCAGTGAGTGAGCTCGAGGCTTGTCAATGACTTGAGCTGCGTGATTGAGCACGGCAGCAGCTCCTGTACGCGATTTAGCATGAACTGAAGAGCGTGAAGGTTGGTGAGCCTACCAATGTCTTCTGGAAGAACCAGCTTCGGCGAGTTGGCGATGCAGAGGGACTTGAGTGCGTGGAGGCTGCCGAATCTTGCAGGCAACGCCAGCATCGCGCGGCAATCAACCAGATTCAAGGCCTCCAGCGACGTGAGCTGGGAGAAAGTTTCTGGCAGACCTGAAATCAGCAGCTGCTGCAACGTCAGTTCCCTCAACGCGGGCAGCTTTCCAAAGTTTTCAGGCAGGCTGGCCAGGTCGAGCGCGGAAAGCGTCAGCTTCTGGAGGCAGGTAAGGGACGTGAACTTATCAGGCAGCTCGGTTAAGTTACGGCACGCGCAGATGCTCAGATCTCGAAGGCGTGGCAGTCGCTCTCCCATGTCGTCCGGCAGACGCTCGAGCTCATCGCAGAATCTGAGAAGCAGCCGCTCGAGACGGCGGCACGAGACACCAGACGGAAACAACAGGTCGAATCGTGGAGTGCTGTAATTGAACTCCAGCGACTCAAGGAGAGCCATCCGAGCAAATGAGACGGGCCGGGCGTCGTAGCCTTCGAGAATGAGCTGCGAATCGCCGCACAGGAAGAGGCTGGTGAAGGCCGGCAGATGCACGAGGGCCGTAAGATCCAGCTCCTCCTGGTCCGAGATGTCCACAGAGAGAGTGGCGAGAGACGACAGGTGCGTAAATTCCATCTCTTCAAGTGGCGAGCTCTGGGTCAGAGCCAGGGTGTGCAGGTCGGTGAGGAGCGAGACGGACGCAGGCAGCCTCCCGTATCGATGCAGGCAGTAGAGCGAGAGGTGCTGCAGCTGAGTGCAGCGACGCACGAAATGGTCCAAACCAGCCTCGGTCACTGGATGCTCGTCCTCCCTTTCCCAGTCCCACATTTTCGTGATCTCCTTGCCCACGTGGAGCGACATCAGTTTAGGGCACGCAGCGGCGAGGTGAGCGAGGAAGGCGTCGTCGATGGTCTCCACGCTGTTGTCGCTCAGATGCACGTGCGAGAGGTGAGGGAAGCACGCGACGGCCGCGGTGAGATCCTGAAGTGAGACGGCACGATTTTCCTTGACGACGAGCATGGACACCTGCTGACGAGCCAGGCGGCGCCAGCGCGTGCAGACGGAGGCGATGAGGAGATTGTACGCCGGGTCGGTGAGCGCAGAAGGAGCTGACAACGGACTGTGGCACTTTCGTTGAAACGAGCTTCCTTCCGAAGAGCCTTCGGAGGTGTTGAGCTCTTCGCCGTACGGATTTTCGGAGTTGTACCTTGGCCGAGGCAGCACGAATGGGGCTGAATTGTTGCCCCTCACAACGGGCTGGAAAGATATAGGCTGCCATAAGATATGTATAAGGAGGTCGTCCGACAGGTTATGAATGTACGAGCGAGCCATGTCTGGAAGCTACAAAGAGCGGAAAGAAGCAAACCGGTGTGAGCGACGAAGGGGGCAGCTTAGAAAGTCAACAAGCTAAGTTATCTGCTGGAGCCCTGCATTGCCACGAAGAAAACGTTTCCCTGCTTCGTAGTCTCAGCTTTCCCCTACTTATTTTGGAGGAGAGAGAGCTTCTTGTAGGAACGAGACGAAGTCGTTGAACTGAACTCTGCTGTGCTCTGTTCTGCTTCTGTGTTTCGCACCACAGAAGTAAAAACGTCTTGAAAGGTCATGTTTGACGAAGGTGATATCCCGTTCCCGGACACTCGTCTTGAAAGAATTGCTTTGGGCTCCCGACCTGCTCTGGTGGCACGACACAGCCCGTGTGGTGTGATGAGGTTAGGGCGCGTGTGATCTTTTTTCGAACTTCCCAAAGTTCGAACTTTTAGAAAGGTTCTACACGGTAAGATACAATTAAGAGACTTTTCGCCACGGTGCAAAACGGTTTGAGTTCGAACTTAGACCAAAAACCAAAGATCACACGCGCCCTTAGTTCATTGTGAGTAGATCGGCGTCATCGCGTTTACGAGTTACTGACGAACGGAGCAGCAGCACGCCAGAAAAATTACCTCGAAAAACAACGGACGGAGAAGTTGCTGCAGTGGGTATGCTGACCCGTTAAAACTTTATGATGGTTTGAAAATCAGAACTTGAACGCCAAATGTGGATTCGCCAGTGTCTTTCTACACCTCAACGAATAGCGCTTCGTTAAATGTGCTGTTCTTACTTGCTGGTATTGCATATACATATCATTAATTCAAAGAAGCTTCTCTATGTGACTTTCAACACACCAACTGAACAACAACGATGTAAGGATTTACAAATCCTTACTGAGACACTCGTTAGCGAGGCCATCCCGAGGGTCACGCGACGAACCTGTCTTGCCTATTTCGTCGCACCGAACCACCCCCGAGTCGGCCTCCGCTCCAATCGCAACCATCACCGAGCCATCCCTTCCCGAACCCCCCGCCTAGCTAGGACTTCCCCTATTTAGGCCTCGTCACTTTGTGTGTTCAATTCATTCAGTAATTTTGTAATTCTCATTCTCGTTATTCGATATTTTGCGCACTCTGCAAGTTCATTCATAACACCTAGTATCAGAGCTACTTTCCTAGCTCACCCCGCTTTTTAGAGTGTAATACCCCTCGGGGGGGGGACGAGGAAGGATGTCTTGGGGTCCAGGAGTTGCTTAGGCCGGCCAGGAGAACTAGTTAGTTGCTCCTCGCGGCTATGTTTTTACGGGTACTCCTTCAGCACCGCCAGATCCTTGCCTCGAACGGTCGCGATCGACCGTGGCCTCCCTCCCCCCGGGCAACGGACAGCTGTAGCTGTCGCGACATTAAACGTGAGTTTCTATTCCGCTGCGGTTTTAACGACAGTTTCGGAATTTTGTGAGGCACCTGGCGTCAGCGGACCTGCGTCGGCACCTGCACGAAATTTTCGGAAGTCGTCACTATGAGTGGCAGTTGACGACGTTGGACCTGGGTCAACGGTTGCGCGACAACTTCGGAGTCGTCCCATGCGGCAAGTGACAACGGTGGCTCGTCGTCATTTTGCGCGCGTGACTCGCGGAGTGTGGCTCGGCAGCTGGCGACAAGGGACATGCGTCACTGTGGGCGATAATTTCGGAGCTACTGTGGAGAAAAAGTCGGCTGGGGAACTCGCCAGGCGCAAATGGAGTTTTGCGTCCGAAAATATCGGTGGACGAGGAGAGACGACACGCGAATTTCCCGAATTATGCGGGGTCAACTGTCGTCCCGCCCGACCTGAAGTGCAGCGGCTTTTACTACATGACGGGCGCGTCATCGAATATTTCGACAGAAGTGCTCGTGGACACACGGGACTTTAGACTCGCCGACACTTACGGGCTGCAACGAAAAGCGGAGTGGCCATATCGCACTTAGCAGAAGTGGGACGCAGGCGGCGAGGGAAATCGAGGCAGGTACACCTCGGAAACAACTCGTGCGACACTGCGTGCCTGGTGTTGTTGCAAGCTGGCCGGCAGTATCGAGAACAGTTTCTCCTGACCAGGGACGTTGTTTTCGGGGACAGTTGCTGACAACCCACGATTAAACGGCGTCCAAGGTACCGCGCGACAATTTCGGAGGGGTCGGTACAGGCTGCCGGGACACACGGGCAGAAACGGTCCAACGGCTAAGCGGGGGTTGAAGAACGTCGTGGGAGCAGATTAAAAGCCGGTGGAACCGATCTGCGGCCTACTTCGCCCGAACCTCACCATCCCCACCAAGTCCTGGTTCTGACTCATGCAGTCAACCTACTTGGCCGAATAATGGGGGTGAACACGTGCCTACCCTGTGCTGGTTAAAGGCACCTGGATTGGTGCTCGTTCGACAGCTGTACAGAAAAGACAAAAAAAAGTGGAGTTCGCGGCACTGTTCGCGGCCCGCGACAAAAGCGGGCTGGGTGAACGGCACGCGAAAAAGTCGGGGAGCTGCGAGGACAACATTGGTGCAGTTTACAGATTTCTCCTGACCCGGGCGTCTACACGGATTGACGGCGCAGCGGCGAAGCCGAGACCGGGAAGCTGTGGATTTTTCGTGGCGTGATAGGCACGGCGGGCTGCAAAACGGTTGGGCACTAGTTTCCTTTTAACTAAGGCTACCCCGACTCCGATAGTTTTTGCCTCTCCAACGTGGCCGGGTTCGCGCGGGCAACAACGACGATACCCCATCCGACAAAAGCGGACGCTGGGTGAGCGGTGGGAAGCGGAATTGTCGGGGGGTGAATACGAAAAATACGACGACGAAGGGAAAGTTGTGGGTGATCCAGCAGATCACTTGAGTGAGAGGTTGAGCCCGTGCACCAATCCACCGCGAATTTCGGAGTCTATTCGGTAGACACCCGAAAGGGTTTGATATTGTTACATGGAGGCGCGGCGAGCGGTACATTGCCAATGATATCAGTTACGACTGAGTATGTATGCACTGATATAGTGTAATAACATTCACCAAAAAAAAAAAAAAAAAATGATACCTGGGATTCGCTAAGTGGTTTCGACGGGTATGAAGATGGGTGAACATCGGAGAACCAGGGTTAACGGCGGAAACGTCGGGGCTACACGGCGGAGAATAACTTCAAGACTGCTGCCTCAACCATGATTTTTGGGTGACTTTTCTACGAAAAAAAAAAAAAAAAGGAGTTGGAGCTGAGGGTGTTTCTTCGCTTCTTGGAGTGCGGTTGAGCCGTTGGGGGACTTTGCCTGAAGGGTCACTTTTTAAGTCGCCTGGCAAGAAACACAGCGGCGGGGATACCTAGAACCCACTGGTGTTTAAACGTACACTGCGGGAAATTCTTCAGTAAAAGGGAGCGTGGGAGCAGCCGAAGTTTCGGGATTTACCTGCCGGCGACGAGCGATGGGCGAAACATCTGCAAAGCGCCAGTGGTAGTTTGCGTGTTATTTTGTTAAAACATCATCGGCGGGAGCAGTTTCGACGATGGGGTCAACGGCGTTGATGCCTCTAGGATCCGTGAAAGTCGGTCTCGGAATACCCAGGTCTAGTCCCCAGTTCCAGATTATGCCCCCAGATGGGTTCTGAACTGACGGAAACAGCTGGTGCTTGAGTGGGCGACTATAGTACGACCGAAGATTTCGGAGGCGAACTGCACCTGCAACTGCGGATTTGCGGGGCTACGTTTCGAGCGAAAATTTTGGAGTTTGACGAAAAACTTACCGGTTTTACGGCGAGGAGCGCCGACAATTTCGCAGGAGAATTCGGCGTTTGGTTAAAATGCGCGCGACATTTACGCAGGACAACACCGCGGAAACTACACGGAGTTTTCAAGGGGTACGAACGACTTACGACGAACTGACGAAGGCGGTAGCAACAGTGACGGGAGGGAGAGACAGCTGTAAAATTTCATCCCTGCCCACGAACATCGGCGCTTTACGACAAAACTCTCGGAGTATCCATTCCAACTCTACCACTGACAACTCGCCTTCGACCCGCCCACGACAACTGCATTTAATATCAACCACGTCAGGTGCTGCCAGCTGCAACTGCGGAAGACACCACCGGAATTTTTGGATGTGTCACGACTGTTGGGTGCAAAATGCTATTTTTGCACTGCAACCAGCCGCCTGCATGATGATGTTATGCATTTTGTGTATGTTGTGTGTGCATTCGTTTTCGCATTTCGTTTCGTGTGTTGTTGCTATGGGATCATGATCGGTCGTGACGGATCATGACGAGTCATGTTTGTTCATGTCGGCACATGTACGCTCATGTTTGTTTTCATCGACGAACATGTGCGTTCATGAAAGTTCTGTGTTTCATGAATGTTCTGTGTTTCATGAATGTCGAGTTTTTTTCATGAAGGTTGGTTGTGAGTTTCGAGTGTGTTTGTGATTGGGGCTCGATTGTTTGACCAGCCCATTGACCACTTCGCGCTGGTCAACTAAAAAGTGGGCGAAGTCAGGACCCGCGTGTGGGGTCCTGACACACGCGTGTGGCCTGACAGAACATACGCGTGTGTCGCCACTGTTTCGATCGTGTACTGTACGCACGATCGCTACAGAACGAAGCGACATGATCGCCTCGTCACGTGACAACGCACGATCGCGTCAGCGATTGTTTTGTCCTGCACGACCGAGAAATATCTCGGTCGTGATGAGGGGCACGTGGGGCACT